TTACTCACTTCCATGTGAATTTTCAACATATCTTGTGCTTTGCTGACCGTCTTTGGATAATAATCCACTTCTCTGCAATAGTTTGTCTGAAGATCCAGCATCAGAGGAGCTGTTCTCGTTTGATCGCAGTTGCAAAGAAATCCTGTTGCAAGAACGGCTTCAAAGATATCATCCTTGAACTTGTTTTTAGCAGCAGTATTGGTGCTAGCAATAGCAGCATACGCTTTCGTCTTGACTGCAAAATCTTGGAACCAGGCCATGTCATATAGATCTTGCAGGACTTCAGCCTGTCTCAAGAATCGTTCCTTGAAATGCATGAAGTTTTCCGTTGTTCCTTGCTTCATATCAAAGAACTTTTGATTCGCTTCCCAGAAATCCAAGAAATCATACTCAGCATCAGCAATCTTCTTCATGAATCGTTCAACACGTTTCAAGAGTTCGATCGGATCTTCAAGAGTAGTTGTGAAATCCGCTTCACATTGAAGCTTGAGATCCATTGCCTTTGTCACAAACTTCAGCATGATGTTTGATTTGACGGTTCTCTTGTTTGTCTTGAAGTAGGCTGACCTTCGCATGTCCTTGTCGAGCTTTGCAGCATAGAGAATCTTGTTTTGGGCCATCTCTGTTTCTCTTGCAACAGCTTCAGTTTGAGTTGGAGCGTTCAATCTTGGAGCGATCGCATTGAAGTCGATCGACTTTCCATCTTGAAATGATTTCACCATGTCTTCGGAACATTTCATTCCAGAAGCTTGGATATAATCAATCACTCTTTCTTCAGCATCTTTGTACCATGATCTTGCCTTTCCATCGTTTTCATCTTTTGTTGAAAATAGATGTTTCACAACTGTTGAGCTTGAATTGCTCTTGACTTTCTGAGGAGTCACACGTCCTCTTCCACCACCGATGAAGAATGTCCCATTGTCAACGAATCACTCACTCCTTTGTAGATAAGGCAGTGCTGTTCTTGACGTATTTTTGTTTTGTTGCCTTTTGTGATTGAATGATAGAATAAAGCAAAATGTGCTCTATTGTGAGTGCCTTTAGCGCTCAGAACAAACTCTCTGCAATCTAAATTTGTAATCGACTGTACAACACTTTCACAACAATAGTTTTTCTGTGTCTAGGTATACTTTGAGTGAAATTGTTCCTATTTGATTAATATTTGGCTTGAATTAATGATTCAATCACAAAAGTAAGTTCAACAATTTTCCCTTGGAAAATCCCTTGTTTACAGAACTTGATTTGACCTCTACGGCAATTCTGTGTTGAATGCAGTACTTTGGGACATCTTGTATTATTCCCTACTGCATTGTACACAACACTGACATCACACTTGTATAGGGTCATTCCCTTTTTGTGTGGATATAGATTGTCTGACAGACTTGCGTCCGGCATACTTGCGTCAAATTGACATCAAAGTGGAAGAAGCTTGTCTGCAGCAACAGAAAGGGAAGCTCTTGCAGGCCTTTTTGCAGCGTCAGAAGTGGAAGCTGAAGTTTGTGCCGAAGCAGTGGAAGGTTATGTGGCTGCTTCTTCAGACTCCTCTAGTAATCCAGCTCTTGCAGGCCTTTTTGGAGCATCAGAAGTGGAAGTAGAAGCTCGTGCCAACCAGTGGAAGGTTGTGCGGCTGCTTCTTCAGACTACTCTAGTAATCCATTCAAGAAGCAAACATAGGGAGGCACAACATTGAAGACAGTGCAAGCAACATGTCCAAAAATTAGCCAGTTCTCATCATAGTGACGTCCCTGTATTGGGAATTTTTTAAATTTCAATTTGGGTACAAATTCGTCGGCATCGTGATGGGCCGTAAGCCTGCTCCTATACCAGGCATCCAAGGGTTCCATTTGAGGACTTTTCTTCTTTAGTCTTGATTGGGAACGTGTGTTCAATCTTGGCTTAGTAGATACCAAATCCAAATTGACCTTCCCTTCCTTCTTGATTTGTCGCAGAGCAGTAGCATTCCTACCTGTAGACCGTCCAGACATCTTAATTACTTCACTGCACCAAGTCTCCAACCTTATAAACGCGAGGACTTGGCACAACACAATGGGGCTTTTATGGTACACACTGACAATCTCTTTGCGCAATGAAAGTAGACAGGCAGGTGGAAAAACTTCAGAATGCAGAAGCGGATGCAGGAACCTGTCTCTGAGGAATATGGATTGCTCTACAACAGCTGTGTCCCAGGACGAAAGCCTCTCATCTCTGACAGCGGCATCCCCGGGAGGTGTACACCCGTTCTTTCTCCCTTCTCCATCTGGCAAATCTGGTGCTAGCGGATCTGCTAAGTTGCCTTCTTCGGCCGGCCGCGGAGCGCCTCGCTCCGCAGCAGGGCCATGAGAGGCCCCAGGTCGTCTGCTGCTAGGTCACAGCGTGCAGGCAGAAGATCTTGAATTAGTGGCCCGTCAAGTGTTGTTTCCCACGATTCACTTGACGAATATTTACGCTCTCTGCCACCAGGAGACTGCCTTGGCGATGACCATCGCTGTCGCACTTCACTCGCTACTCGCGTCACCTTCCAGAACGTTAACGGTGTTCCGGAGGAAGGTGATCATGTGAAACAGCGGCAGATCAACTCCTGGCTGCAAGATGAGCGAGTGGGAATAGCGTTGTTGGCGGAGGCCAAAACGTTTTGGCCCTCTATCCCAGAGGGTCATGGGTGGAACGATAGGATGCGTCAAGCTACGATGAAGGCAAAGCACAAAGATTTTACTCGGCTGTCGCTTATAATAAACAGCAGTCACGATCTTCAGCTACTACAGCCTTTCAATGGGGAGGATGCATCCCGACAGTACTTAGTCAGGTCTCGCACCGAGCTAAAGAATCAGGAAGCGATTCGACGGTGCTTGGACGGTGGGCTTATGTTCGTCTTCAAGGAAAAAAACTGAAGGCGCAGGGGGGTAATGATCCCTCCGGCTTGGTGCTAGACATAAACGAGGCGGTCCGACGCCCGATTTCACGTGATCTAGTGGTTGTCTTGGCATATAGGCCAAACAGAGAAGGTACGGGGGAATTGACCGTGTGGGCCCAACAACGTCTATACTTTAACTCTATAAAACGTAAGATTGATCCGCGCAAAGCATTGGTCGATGACCTGTGCACGCAAATTCAAAAATGGAGGGACGAGGGTTGTGAAGTTTTGCTGGGGATCGATGCTAATGAAGACCTTTTGGTCAACTCCCCGGACTCCATACGACAGCGTTTTGTGAGTGCGGAATGGAGGAAGCAATTTTGAAACGGCATCCCCCCCCCCCCCGGCGACCCACCAACAAAATCAAAGCAACGTTCCCATCGACGGAATCTTTACCACTTCAGGTGTTCCGGCTCTGGCTGGTGGCTACTACGCATTTGGTGAATTTGTTGAAGCAGACCACAGGGCACTATGGATCGATATCGACTTGAACACGGCTTTGGGCAATTTCACACCCCGGGGGTCTACCTTCAAACCTCGGAAGCTCACTCTTTTGGATAAGCGGTCGGTCAAACGCTATCTTCAACTGGTTCACTTGGGATACGAGGAGTATGACATCCCGTCCCATCTCACCAAGCTCAATCAGCGCATTGAATCCAATGGACGACACATGTCACCTCCACTGGCACGCAAATATAACTGCCTTCACTGGCAGATGTATATGATACGGCGGCAGGCTGAAGACAATTGTCGCACTACCTCCTCTGGCAAGGTTCCTTGGTCTCCCAAATTGCAGGGCTTCTGGGATCGGTTGAGTCTCTGGAAGCTACTCCTTAAAGGACGCAAGCGATGTCGTGTGAGCTCCCAAAAGGTCCGGCGCAAGATGAAGAAGACAAGGCTGTGCACCTTGTGGAAGAAGACGACTGCTGAACTGGAAGTGGCATTGGCAGCTGAACGAAGGGCATACCAGCAAGCCAAACGTCAGGCAATCCAACTGAGACGGGACTTTCTTACGGTTCAGACAACGGATGCAAAGAAGAAGAAATGGAAATCTCAGAAGGCCCACGATAGATTCCTTTGGTTACTACGACGAATGAAGCAACGAGAGGAGGCAAGACGCCATTGTCGCGCCCAACAAAAAGGATCTACAGGGGGTTTACGGGCTATTCAGATTGAAGAACAATTACCAGACGGCACTCCGCAGCTGCGTACTATCACCGACCGTGCTCTGGTTGAAGAAGGTTGTATGCAAGAAAATGCGGCACGGTACGACCAGACGCGTGCTCCATATACAACTCCACCTATGGCGGAACCCTTGTATACAGCATTCACCGGCGCTCAGGCTGAAGCTAATTCCATTGCACTATTGGAAGGCCGCTACTCCCTGCCCGACCTTCTCGACCCCGCCACTACGGCCTTCCTTTCACATTGCCGTTTTCACAAGGATCACTTACCTGTGCACCTTGAGGTGACTACCTCTGATCATGTGTACTTCTGGTCCCGAAATCCGGAGGACAAAGGCTCAGAACCTCATGGTTTGCACAACGGTCACTTCAAGGCAGCGGCCCAGTCACCAGTTATTGCCTCTTGTGATGCCCTTTTTCGCAATATTCCTTTGGCAACGGGATTCGTCCCCTCAAATTGGCGAAACTTGATGAATTTTGCAATTGAGAAAAAGGCAGGCGACTTCCGGCTGTCAAAAATGCGTACTATTCAGTTAATGAATTCGGAGGCACAGGCGAACAACAAAAAAGCGGGTTGGGCGGCCATGCGATATGCCGAGGAACACTCCTTGATTCCGGATGGTCAGTGCGGTTCTTGGAAACGTCACCAGGCCATTGATCTGGCCCTGTCCAAACGTCTGGTCTGGGACTTGTTGATTCTCCAACGACGTGCGGCTGGGTGGATCTCTAACAATGCTAAATCCTGCTTTGATCGTATTGTTCATTGGGTGGCAATCATTGCGATGCTCCGGTTTGGGCTGACATGGAGGGTCCTATCCTCCATGTTTAACATGCTGTCATCAGCGACGCATCTGGTGCGGACAGGCTTTGGCGATTCCAATGGTACTTTCAAGCCGCCTTCTGTTATCCCCTTCCAAGGCTGTGGTCAGGGTAATGGGGCTGGACCCCCTATATGGATCTCTGTGAGCTCCGTTCTCGTTACGATGATGGAAGCGATGGGTTACGGCTTTGAGTGCCTCTCAACATTGGAGTCACAGCTGGTCACAGCCCAATGCTTCTGCTTTGTCAACGACACCGACGTCATTGAGGCTGGCAATACAGTACATCACTCGGGTGAAGCTATATGTGCATCGGTGCAGGACGCCGCCACCCTGTGGGCTGGGGGAGCGATCAATCCTGAGAAGTCCTTTTGGTGGCTCATTGATTTCGAGTGGGACTCCCGCACAGGTAAATGGAAAATCCGTGGAAAAAAAGCAGTCGCTCCCAACTTTGAACTCCAAATTCAAGGTCTTTCAGGTGCTACTGAATCCTTGCGTCGCCTTGAACCAGACAACTCAGAACGCACTTTGGGAGTTATGCTTTCTCC